ACACACACACACACACACCCCTTTAGTCAGTCTGTCTCTCACATTGAAGTCAGTGGTCCTAGTAGCAGTAAAGAAGCAAATCAATGTAGGATGCTTTACCAATAGTCCCACCTAGAGGCAGAAGGATGAACCAGCTAGAAAATATTTTTTCAGGTTTTCTCCAGAAAGGTGCCGTTTGATTTTGAATTTATTCCGTGTTAACATTTCCCATTGTTTTTCATATTGGGTTCTACCGTAAGCTATAACAAAGCAAGTAAGTGATGTAGTCTCCTAAGGATGTCAGTGAAACCATTTGGGGACTAAAACAAGATGCGGGGCTAGTTCCCCAAATTTTCTAATCTCCCATGAGTCACGAGACCTATTCCTGATAAACTTCAGGATAAACATATCAGCAAACAGTCTCAAGGCTGTCTGATTTTCCCCTTCCTATCTGAAGAGAAGTTTCTTCTCCGTCAAGCCTCATACTGTATGCATACCAAGATCTCTCCTGTGAGACCCCATGATGGCTATCAACTAAATGTTTTCCTATTAATGCTTTTAACATTAACATTAATTAATCAATATTTGACAAGCCATGAGACACGTTTTTAAGCTGCCATTGTTTAGGTGTTCAGAGTTACAGTGACTCCTGCAAAGACTCACCTCAGAGCACCAGCCAGTCGTAAGGAATTACCCAGGAACAATGCCTGTGTAATAATTTAGTCTTCAACCTGGATAGCTCAGCATTGAGTAAGACTTCTCTTAGCTGCATACTGTGAAAGAAACAATGAATGTGGGAAGAAGTTAAATAGCACATCCAGGTCACCAACACAGGCCTGACACCAGAAGCCATGCCAGTGCATTTTCCAAAAGGTACCCTGAATAGCCTGCATTAGAATCACCGGGGTTACTTATCAAACATATAGATTCCTGGGGGTGCCTGGTGGCTCAGTCAGTTAAGCATCCAATTCTTGATTTCACCTCAGGTCGTGATTTCATGATTCATGAGCTCAAGCCCCACATGGGGCTCTATGCTGACACTGCAGAGCCTGCCTGGGATTCTCTTCTTCTCGCTCTGCCTCTCTCCCCATCCTCTCTCTCTCTCAAAATAAATAAATAAACTTTATATATTACATACATACATATATTACCTATGGGTCTTAACCAAAGAACCACAGAATCAGAACTTTGGGGAGCGGATACCAGGCCTCTGCATTTTTATCAAGCACTTCAGTGATTGTTAATATACACTGTACAGAGTCATACAGCCTCCTGATGCTGCAGGGAAACTGCAGTGCACAAAATGTGGGGGGATGCTAGGTGGGGTGCAACTGCCTCTGGCGTTTCTACTCTAATCACTAAGTAACCACAGGGTTTCAAAGATTACCCGAGTGACCTTGGCATGTTCAAGAGGGGGCCAGAACAAGGACTTTCTGTTTTCTGTGGCCAAGTGGACATTACCTTTACACCGTTCACACGTCTCCAAAGAAAATTTGGATAATGAAAGTAAAACAGGCAAGTGAGGAGAGGTGCGTGTGGGATAAAACGAGAAAGGACATTTGGAGATTTGATTGGCTAAAGTTGAAAAGCTCAGGACTTAGCCTACAGCTGATGAAAAATGGGGCAGGGGAAAGAGGTGAACTTGCCCCAATCCTCCCATATTTTCCTTAGGCTTCAATGGATGCTGCTATCCAATGATTAATTATAGCATTCCCGGTTGCACAAATGCTTAGCATCAACTTATTCTAAAAAACAAAACAAAACAAAAACTCCTCAATGAGGGTTAAATGCTTCTTCTAAGACGGTGTGTCCAAAAAATCCCCAGCTGAAAATTCAGCTAGCCACATTCAGTAGAAAACTCAAAGCCATGTAGATGAGTACTGAATTGACAATAGTGCTTAAGGCTAGAACAAGTGTTCATTGGAAACTCAAATCAGTGGACCATTATTCTGCCAGGTTTGCTTTTGGGTGATTATAAAATGGATATGTTTTTCTTCCCCAGTCTCAGGAGGCCCAGGTGCTGAAACAATTGGCAGAGAAGAGGGAACATGAGCGAGAAGTCCTTCAGAAGGCTTTGGAGGAGAACAACAACTTCAGCAAAATGGCGGAGGAAAAGCTGATCCTGAAAATGGAACAAATTAAAGAAAACCGTGAGGCTAATCTAGCTGCTATTATTGAACGTCTGCAGGAAAAGGTAATCCCGACAAAGTTCTAGGCATAAGCATGCATTCATACGAAACACAGCTGGGTGAAGTTCCAAATGCCCGGGCACCAGGGACTTAGTCAAAACTTGTTTCAAGTACAGAGACAGCTAATGCCTTGGACAGGTTCTTCCACTGTAGCACTGACTCTGTGGGCACTGCGACATGGGAGAGGAGTGGGAATCCAACGTTAAAGCTAGAATTTGGTGAAATGTTTTAGTAGTGAATGGATTCAGGGAAGCTGATTCATGCTTTTCAAATATATAAAAGACTTGCACAAACTTTAAGAACCAATCCATTAGAAAAATATTAAATTGGAAATATGAAACATGCCATAAAAATATCATATTAATAAGTAACAATAATATATAACAAAATAATACATTCAATATTTACTTTACTATTTCATTGAGTGTAATATTGAATATATAAATAATAACTTGGAAAAATATATTCAAGAAATGACAGACTACCTAGGAAAAATGGAAAGCCCATTCTGTCTATGTAGGAGAATCTACATGGGAAACCAGGGTATAGTAACATTCATGGAACCAAAGGGAAGGGAAGCTAGTAAGGGATGTTTATTTCCTCACGTTCTGATATCCTGGTGTCTTTCTCCTCACCAACCCTGAAATATACCCATTCCCATCAATCAGGATGAGCAGAGCAGGAGATCCTCTGAAAAGTATTCTCTCTTTCCCTGTTGTTGACGCTATGCTATCTATCCATCACCACCACCACCACCCAGCAAAGTTTCCTTTGAAAATGTGTAGTATAGATATGAATAGTGTAGCTTTTTCCATCTCCAGAAATTGGATTAAGCATTGAGAAATATGATTTTTGAGAAACAATGCCTCAGTCCTTTTCTGAGCCATTGCCCTCTGCACCAGTACTGGGTACTATTACATGTTGGCACTGGAGATACAGACGGAAGTAGGACTGTCCCTGTCATCAAAGCACTAAGAGTTTAAACAAGATCAGCCTCCTGTTTTCTGAGTATTTCTTAGGAAGACCCAGGGATCAGGCAACTCTGTTCTGAAGTTCTGATGACTCTGTTTTTACTTGCATTCTCTGATGACAAATATCAATCCAGAACCAAAGGAAATCAGGCACAAAACATAAATATGTATATATATATATATATATATATATATATATATATATATATATATATATATATATATATATATATATATATATATAATTTCATGGAGATTTTCATGGGCATCTGTGCTTTTGAGGGATTTTTTAAAGCATTGCCTAGGGAAGGGCCTATGGGCTCTGACACAGCAGTAGGACACTGAGGCTCTCAGAGGTATGTGGAGAAAGTACTAGATGACCTGGTCAGGAGCAGAGAACCACTGAATGCCTTGGTCAGAACCTTAAAGTTAAAATTTAATTTATGCATATAAGCTGGTGCTTCCATACTCTCAGAACAATGTCATTGTGTTACACCCAAGTGCATCAGGTCAGGATTTCAAGGAGGCAGTTCAGCTCTCTGCATGTTACACATGGTGGTACCATAGCAAGTGCTTTGCTGAGATGCAGGAGAGCGGAGTTCCATTGGGCAAAATTTATGTGCCTCACCTTGAACCATTCAGTCTTCCTCCATTTGCCCTCAGTTCACACGTTTCTGTACAACCAAGGAGATTCCTGCTGACTGGTGCTCATACCACGGATAGCAGAAGACCACTGTGTGTTCTGTTTGGGATAATTATGACTCAAGCATCTCATATCCTAGGCCCTAAAAAAAAAAAAAAAATAAGTTGCTAGAAATGGGGCATGCTGATCATATTCCAGGCTTTTCAATTAGACCGTAATATCTAGTGCAAGATTTATATCACTGACAACCAGGAGCATTATTGTTTTTGAAATTACACATATGCAAATATATAGCATATCCCTCTTGATTTCAACTATAAAGTGGTACATAAAATTTGCATGTTTTAACTAGTATTTCCAGAAGTGTTGGATTTTAACAGGTAATTTCTTTTTCTCTGTGTATTTCTCTTCACCCACTCCCCAGCCCAGCACCTTTTAGCACTCTTTCCCATTCTCACCCAGATTTAGTCTCCACCTCCTTTCAGACACACTTGCATACAGACATGCAATTTGTCCTAGAAATAATCAGCCTGTGGACGGGTTAACATCCTGACACCAAGCTGCAAAATCTCCCAGTGAGACGCAGGCGTCTATATTTTTTAAAACCCTCCAGATGATTCCAATATTTGGCCAGGTTTGAGAACTAGGGGTTTATAGCCTATTCTGATTTAAATCCCAACTGACAGTATTCTATCCCACGCTGGATAATGCAGCCCAGATCATTTTTAGGACCACATTCCCCTTGGAATTTCATAGCCACAGAGATGCTTTTCAAATCTAATGGGACCTTTGGCCGGTGTCCTCCAAGATTCATTATCATCTCCATAAAGTGGAGGTACTCCTTGGGGAGTATCCAAATTTACTTCCTTTTGATGTATTTTAAATATGTTTTCTTTTTCCTAAATAAGACAGAGTAAGGTTTTTATCATGACCAATATCTAGCCTTTTGTTTGAATGAAATTACTGCAGTAAGATTAAATTAAAAAGAGAATCAATAATAATACTAATGCTGAAAATGCATGAAACTGCTAACATATATAAGCTGTTCTGGAATCCGATGCATCGAAAGATGATTACTACTGAAAATGACACCGATTAATCAGTTAATCATTCAGTGCGTATTCGTGGAGTACCTATGTGCTTAGACACCTGGAATAATATCAAAGAGCATTTACCAACCGTCTCTTTCCCTATGCAGATAGTATAAAACCAGCAACGAATAGCATAGCACCAAAAATTAGAGAATAAGACAACACATAATATGGACCAATATAGATAGTTAATACAAAAGCACTGAAAAATGTTAGTAAAAATGAAATCCATGTCAAGGCTAGCACACTAAATTCTCACAACTGTGACAGGCCTCACTTCACTGAGCCTGTCAATTAGCCAGACGACGTGATACAGAGCCATGGTGTCCGCGGTTTCCTCAGTGTCATTCACTGACAAATTCCCACAAACTTCTTGGAGATCCAGCCATGTTAGCTCAAAGTCTTTAGCTAAAACTGAAAGCCTAAAGCAAAAACAATCTCAGTTGCACTTTAGAATCTAGTGAAGTGCTCTTTAAACTAAGAGATTTTGATTTAATTGTCTGGAGTGACACCCAGAGATCAGTATTACTTCTAAAGTTTACCAGTAGATGCTAATAGCAGGAGTTGAGAACCACTGAGCTAAAGACTTCTTAAATATGCTTTGATATATTGTCGTAAATTATATTAAAGTATTTTTATCTTCGTTCCATAGAAGTGTTCTTTTCTCCTTCAGAAAAGAATGTTACGCTTTTTTCTTTCAATGTCTGTTTCCATAGCACCTCGTCTCAACACCCCAGCTTATTATAAAGGAAAGAATCAAATGTGGAGAAAGGTGTGAAAGAAGGAATGCATCTGCCACCGAGAGTTACCCTAGGCTGATCTGTTTATGTCACTCACATTGAAATTACAACTACCCAACAGTCTTCAAATTGAGTGACATAAATAGTCATACCCAGGACTCAAAAGTATAGTCTGTGGACAATGATTGACACTCTGGTGAAGTTTAAAATGTTCTTGTTCATGGAATAATATAATAGGAAGAGACACACTGAGACAGAGACTGAGATGGAGACAGAGACAGAGAGACAGAGACAGAGATAGAAAAACACCTTTTCCTGCCATGCGAAAGGATTAAAGAGACACTTTCTTCTTCCCCCAACATGTCCTTTCTCCCCTAACGCATTCAACAGTATCTAGCAGAAAATTCACTGCCTGGCCCATCAGGAACCCTGAGTAACAGCAGCTCTGTCACCAGACCCAACCAGGATCTGTAGTGGGTATTTTTTAAAAGCCAGTTAAAGCAGGTATAATCATTTTCACAATATTGCATACATTCATAATACATCTAACTTTAACATCAAGCATTTAAAGGTACAGCCAATTACCAATCTTTTCACGTAGGCCAAGACCATTTTGAGAGATGGATCAGTTAATTGGGGTACCATGTCCCCCTTTTCCCCATTATCCACCTATATCATATTAGCTATGATTTACAGTTTCAATTTCTGTAAAATTGGGTAAGGGCTAAAGATATCTGCAAAATAACATGAATATAGGACCTTAACAACTTTTCTTTTTTACAAATTTCCCCTAGCTTTTATACTTGATCCAATATCTGATCATACTGCCCTTTCTCAGGTATTTCCAAAGCTTTTCCTCCACCCACACTAGCTTCTATTACTGTATCTTTAATTAAATTATGTAATTAAATTCTCAACTAGCTAGCCGAACAGGGTGGAAATATCATTGACTACAAGTAAGCATGTAATTCAGCCAGTGAGAGGAAAAGTATGTGGAAATAATAGGGAAGAGCCTACTAGCCTCATAAGCAACCCAACATTTAGGTGATACCAGGATGATGGCGGGAATGGAGAGTGTTGGTTAACCTACCAGATCAGTTAAGAGGACTTCTAGTGAACCTTGTTGAATTCTCCACTTAATTCAAATTGTGTCACATCTTCTTGCCTTTATAGCTCTACCCCACGATTCACTAGCCAAGGCCAAGACCGCCCAGATCATAATATTGTAACAAATACCAAAGGAGCTTCCCATGGTGTTCAGGAGTAAGAGAAGCAAAAAAACACAGACAACCTTGACAGCTACTTTACCTAGCCAACCACAAAGGACAGTACTTAGTCAGTAAGAGATGTTGTTTTAGTATATTGATCATCTCACCTCTAACAATATAGAAAAGTTGGTGCAAAAACATTGTAGTCATTATTTCAGTGACAATAGCATCCCATAATATGATACAGCTTAAAACAATAAAAATATTTTGAGGGAATAAGATTCTGTGGTTCTTTTCTGAAAAGGTGATTTTGATGTTATATAACTCCTTAGATGCAGATTTCAACCATTATTAATTTTCATCTGTCATAAAGTTTTCTTCTCCTCTGACTTTTGTTTGGGGGGAGGGGTCATTCTTGTTCACGAATGCAATTTATGTAACTATTTACTATTGAACCTGTCTGAGGAATGAATAATGAAAGGAAAAGGGGACGTAAAACTAGCTGTTCTTGATTGCTGGCTGTAGGCCAGCCATTTTGCATGTACACTGCATTTAATCCAAACAACAACCCTGAAAGGAGATACTGTTATTGTCTCCATTTCATATCTAAGGAATTTGTCCTTAGAGAGATTTAGTCAAGATCACAAAGCTAAATAGACGACAGAGTTTAGCTCTGAACCCCTGTCTTTTTCATTCCACCCTTTATACTAACCTTTATACTAAGCTGAAGCTGCAATTCGTTGACGATCATCAAACACCACACAGTAAGCAGGCTTAGCAGTACCATTGGAAGTTTACGCTCCAATGACCACAATCATCTCGATATATGAAAACGTTCTTTCCTGGCACTCACAGCTCACTCCTGACCCCTCTTTTGTATTGCAAGTGCGTAGCCATTTATAAAAAGAATTTCTGATGATTCTGACCGCAATCCTCATCTTGCATTTAAATCGACTCATGCAACAGAATTTCACAGATGGAGCTGATACTCTAGGTCATCTAGTTCAGATCCCTTGTTTGTATTTGATAACTAGTGAGGCAAAGGAGACCTTAAAAGGTAAAAAGTATACATATAATTAAATTTAAAAAAAAAAAAAAAGGAAAGAAGAAAAAGAAAGACCTCATATTTCTTGGCTTCCAGTACAGAAATCTCTCTAATCACATCTTCTTAGGGAAACGGAATGTTTCCTAAAGCCATCTTTCATACATTTTTGCATACCAAGGAAGTAGTTACATACAATGCTAAAATATGATCTATTACACTTCCCTTATATTGATGGGAGGAAGGAAGGTAAGACTGGAAAGGTCACTGGGACTCAAGTTTTGAAAGGCTCTGACTAATAGGTTAAGCATTTAAGAAGCATATAAAAAAGTCTTCTTCCTGCGTCTAATCCTCTCAAAGTGTCCACTGATAATTGTAAAGGCCTTAAAATATTCAGGAAGAGGAAAAACCATTAAAATAGGGTAAACAACAGTAGGATGTTCTATTGCCATTTTCTGGATTTATATAGCGATCATAATATTCTGGATTCTCTTGATCATATGACCTTTTTAATAGTTTTACTCAAATACAGTATTAAGGGTTTTTTTAGGCACTGTAAGTCTTATAAGATCTTCTGTTATGTTATACTTACTGGGTCCCTTGTCCTTTCTCGTGAAGTGAAGAGAATTCCTAATGATAGACATCAAACAACTGGGTGACTTCCAACGAGGCATGTATTGTGTAAAGAAGTAGGCAAGCCTTTCCGGTTCTCTGTGGAGCAGACACCCAGGCTCTGTGACATTACTTCTCCCTTTGGTGTCTTCCAGGAGAGGCATGCCGCGGAGGTGCGCAGGAACAAGGAACTCCAGGTTGAACTGTCTGGCTGAAACGATGGAGGGTATGGCACGCCCCACCATTAGTAAATCCCCCTGCCTATATTATAATGGATCATGCGATATCAGTATGGGAAATGTATGACATGGTTTAAAAAGAACTCATTATAAAAAACAAAAACAAAAAAACAGAATCAAAAATTAAAAAAAAAATCAATGCGGTCTCTTTGCAGAATGTTTTGCTTGATGTTTAAAAAATACCTTGGATCTTATTTTGTAAATACTTACATTTTTGTTAAAAAATACAAGTATTGCATTATGCAAGTTATTTCATAATCTTACATGTCCTGTAACAGGCTTTTGATGTTGTGTCTTTCCACTCAAATGAATTTGCTAGGTCTGTTCTTTTTGAAGCCCTCATGTCGAACTCCATTCCCTGCCCTTTTCATTCCAACAGAAAAATGAGGTCAGTAGACAGTCTATGGTGCTAGAAACCCACCATTGCCTAATGACCTAGATGGCTTTGTAATCTCTGAACTTGACTAAGACCACACCTAGGTTACAGGTTTTATGACTCCACACGAACCTCCACATTTGTTCACTCATAATCTACTAACTGCCTAGAAACTACAAAACCAGGCTAAGAAAAAAAAAAAAAACAAACACCAATCATAGCATTTACTTCTGCTTCTCCTGGATTATGTGCTACAAATGTGCTTTGGCTTTAGAAAGGGATGGATGAGAAGACAGAGCTGAGATCAACCTGGGTAGAAGCAGAAAGTTAAACCCTTTAAAAGCGCTGAACACAGATTCGAATCCAAATGGTTCAAGCAGCCATGAAATCGCTCTTCATGAAGTGGGCTTAATTCTCTAGTTTAAGTTCTTTTGATGGAATGAATTAATTAATGTGTCAGGTGGCTTATTTGTGGATGCCATGATTGATGATGTTCATTTTAAGCTCTTACCTATAGTACAAGTACATGATGCTACTGAATATTTTTCCACTTGGAAACTGTGAGCTGGTTGTTGCATTGAAACACACATACAAACGAGATCAAAAACACTGCGGACTTTCACTCAAGCTGGTCTTTCTTCCCCAGTGTGAGGCAATCCTGCCTATTAAAAAAAAAAAAAAATTACTCCATCTGTGAGGGCTGATACAGCTAAGGGGGCTAGGCAGGGCATTTGTGCCAACTAAGAATCACCAGACACCCATCATAAGTACCTATCGCAGTTTTGAAGTCGTTTCTCCCCCAAATCCCAACTCCTGAAGGTTGCTGCCTGCATATTTACTCTTCATTAGTGCTATTTTCCTGTATGTCATTGTGAGCAAGCTGTGATTAATAAAGAATTGGAGTTCTGTGAACTAATAAAGGTTCAGTCTGTTCTCTTGCCCCTTCATGTATCTGACCTGGAGTTCAGATTTTAAAAGGGTGGCCAATGGATTAGACAATCTCATAAGCAAAGAGACAATAATTAGAGTTTGAAGGAAACCAGTGCCCTGCTGATTCACTTCCCTTCTGGGGCAGCAGGCAGCATCTCTTTTCTCTCTGCTTCTGACAGGCCAACGCAGCAGGAGAGGTCTTCAATCTGTTTCCCTTGAAAACATTCAGGACTGCAGGAGATACCACAGGTTCAGACTGACGGTTCTGAGAACGAGACCCCCTTTCAAAACATTTGGAAGGTTCCTGGCACCACCTCGTGCTCTCCCATGTGGCCACAGAACACCTTCACCGGCCTGTTAAAATGAGATTTCCCTGCCATAGTGCTGAATTTTGCACCACCAGTAAGCATACTGCACACATGGACACAGCAGGGTCCTGTCGATGACCCAGATGGATCTTACAGGACCAAAGGAACCCCATCCAGCTTTAGCAGAAAACCATAAATAATTGAAACCATGCAGATTTATGAATAAGTAAACTGGGCTATAGTCCATAGGAGCACTAGTGAGCCAGGTTTGAGGATGAGGCCACCTGGTCCCTCTCTTTGTGGGAATCTAACACTGCAACGATCAATACACATGTTTGCAAGGCTGAACGCCACGATCTTCCTTTGGGAAGTCAGTTGGAGCTTCTGATTAGCAGAAACCAATCTTCATTTTCGTACTGATTTCTATACAACTTAGTTTGTAATGTTTTCGTAAAACATTATTTGAAGGGCTTCCATGGGACCAGACCCTGTGACTGAGTCCCGGAAACACGAAAATGAATGACCACAAGAAGCTCACAATCTACTTGTGAGCCAATGGGGATATTTTGATGTGTCCCTGCAGCATACTGAGGGGAAGCATAACATTTCTATGAAGCTTTCTGAAATAACTAGAAATAGTTGAAAAACATCTCACACTACTTTGTGGGTCCCTACATTGGAACTGTTGACCAATCCAACTGAAAATCTCAAAGGTGGAGAAACTAAGGCCCAGAGAGACAGAAGATAAGTGACTTTGCTCCAGGTCACAATTCCCACTTAGCGTGATTTCTCTCCTTATTGGTAGCTCATCAGCAGACCATCCTCAAATCTTACCACACCAGCAAGGATGTGTTATGTCTATAAAGTTCCCCTAGACTAATGTTTTGCAATATTGGCATGCTTCATAGTCATTTGGAGGACTTGCTAAAAACAGATTGCTGAGCTGCAACCCCAGAATTTCTGATTTCTGAGGTCTGTGGAAGCCTGAGAATGTGCATTTCCATCATGTTCTCAAGCGGCACTGGCATTGCTTGCCTGCAACCTCACTTGAGAGGCCCCGCTGCAAAATGTAATCGATACAGATGTGTGGATTCTTGGTGATGGCCACAGTGGTGGTATTGTTTCATTCAGGGCATATTCCATGGGAGTGGGGCGTGAAAAGAAACTCATTCATTCAATATTGTTCAAAAAAGTGGAACCCAAAGGAATCCAAGAAGAAGAAAAAAATGAACTAGACCTTGCAAGTTCATAAAAGAATAGAAAGAAAGCATCTAAGAGACAGATGAGGTCAAGGAACCAAAAGCGTTGTCTCTCTCACAACATCTTATTTCAGTAAGGCTTAAAATGCCTCAGATGCTCCTGACCCTTTAAGAGTTGAACTAAGAGATCTTTGCAGAGATGATGTCATTTTGCAAGTTATCCACAGTTTGGTAGTCTTGTTCCACTTATAATTTTTTTTACAGAGAGCCTGGTATCCTCGGGACTATGTTTAAATTGAATATATGACTTTAAAATGCACTCTGAAGAAAATTCACAGAAGCTCATCGGTTTACAGATTTACCCTCCTCTCCTATTTCTTCCATACCCAAAATATATGGAACAACTGACGGTGATAAATTCTGTTTTCTCTGGAGGCAAGCACCAGCCTTTATAACATTTCTCAGGAGATAACATATGTAAGAGTGTACTGACAGTCATACTCTGCCACATCCACCCCCATCCCACTGAGGGAGAGAAGAAGGAGGAGATATGGCACCCGTGATTTTAGCAACCAAATAATCGATCATTTTGCGTTCTCAGCCCTGAATGAGACAATTAGCCTTGACTTCTAATCAGGCCATTTGCTGAAAATTCCTAAGGCAAACACACAGCCCCAAACAAAACTGAGATTCCCAAACTCTTCCCCCAAATTACCATAAAGTCATCTTGGATCCTTCACTGCCCCCACCACCCACTTCCAGTTAATCATCAAGTATCATCAGTTTGACCCCCAAATTGTCCCTCATTTCTTGCTTCTTTTCTATTTCCATAATCACTCCCCTACTTTGGGTTTTATTAGACTCTTACAGCAACCAACGTATCTCCTTCACTCTAATCTGCAGGCCCCTCTCCACTCTGACCACATCTCTCCAGTCCTCTACCACCTCGTCCCCCTTAGCAGCAGACTAAAATCTACACTCCTCTGCATGGCGGTAAAGTGCCTCACTAGCCCCCTCCTTTCTCAAGAACATTACTCCCCTTGGGCACCAAACTATTCACTTTAACAAGAACCTTCTGGTCTCTATGCACATGCTGTACTCTCTGTTTAGAATTATGGTCACTACAAATTAGTTAGGAGATGCTAGACCAGACTGTGATAAAACCTACAAAATCAAAGTGGGGCTAGTAAATCACAGAGGCTTATTTTCTGCTCCTCATACATGTCCAGCATGGGTCACTGTGGACTCTGTCATTCCTCACTCTGCACTAAAGGCCAAGGAGCTGCCTTTATCTGAGATACTGCTGGCCCCTATGGAAAAGGGAAAGTGGGAAACCGGCCAATTGTGCACTGGCCCAGAAGCAGCAGACATCACATTTCTTTGGACAAAGCAAGTGATATGACCACATTTAACTCCAAATGGGCAGGAAAATACAATCTCAACATAAGCTCTAAAGGAGGAAAGCCATAAATATTTAATGAACAGCACCAGTGACTGCCACCCTACTGGTCACAAAACATTCAGTCACCCTCCTTCCCACATGTAAAGTACGCTCACACTGTCCCTAAGGTAAAATCTCCAGGTCCATTTGATCACAGCAGCAAGCTCAACATCCAGGGTCTCTGGGTAATGCACAGTACTCTCTCTGATAGATGTGGACATGAGTCCTCTTGACCAGAGACAAGTTAATGAAGATGACAAGTTACTTTCCCCAACATAATCAATACACAATGATGAAACATTTCTTGCTTCTGTCTCTATTCTGATTGCCAGAGAGGAATTCTCCCATCTGTGGCTCTAGGCTCTGTCTTCTAAGGAGATGTGCCTGTTCCTTCATTCTCCTTGGCCACATCTTACAGGGTATAGAGAATATGCCTTCCTTGGAATCCGAGGAACTCTCTCGGCTAACTTGCTGCCCATCATGTGGTTCCAAGAGATGCTAAGTCTTTACTGATCTAAAATTGGTCCATATCTTGGCAAGAAATGGATGATACATTATTATAAATGGGTAGATGAAGAGAAATGAATGAAGATTCTATCAGACAGAATAGAATGGTATGGACAGATTAAAAGAAACCAGCTAAAGATGGTAAAGCACTTGGGGCGCCTGGGTGGCTCAGTCGGTTAAGTGTCCGACCTCTGCTTAGGTCATGATCTCACGGC